AAATAAATAATTAAAATATAACATATTACATTTTATTATGATTAATTTGCCAGAGAAAGTGACCTAGGGATTATTTGCTAATCATATAAAGTATTCCATTTATTACTCTAGATGCATATCAAAAGCATAAAATTTCTAGATCTGGATCATGTCCTTTCATAGGAGAGACCATAAGCACAAGAGTATATACTTTCTAAATATATTTTCAGTAAAATTCAGAACTGACTACTAATTGATTCCAACCTCGATAAGAATACTCTTACTTGCGTTAAATTAATAAAAAAAAATTATTAATGTATTTGCTGCGTGTTTCCATCAACTAAAACTTTAGTTAGGTTCATTTTTTATTTGATGGACATGGCACATGGTCACGTGTCGAGGCACAAAGGTCGCCGTGCAAGTAGTTCGCAAGTTGACAACGTAACGGACGAGGGTTGCAATTCAAACCAAACTGAGCTGCGCAACTCTATTTGATTTTGGAAAATTACGTGAGCTGTCACAACTTTTTGGCTTTCGGCTGCTAAAATAATGGAATTCAAGGTAAGGCAATTTTAATATATTATATTGCAAATAAACCCATTTGTCGCAGCCCATACAAAATCAAATATGACAATAATAGCCAGGTAATTGTATTGAAAACTGTGTACGCAAATGAGATTTGCATTTTTGTATACCCTGGCTGAAAAAGTGGCAGAGAATGTCAGGCAACGAATTCGATAAGAACATTCTCACAGTCACACACAAGGGAAACAAGGCACATTTTTCTTGGCCCTTTTTGACGGCCTTGCAATCTACAGGGTATTCGAGTGTGAGCAATATTTTCAGGATAGCCCTTTCAATTGTTATAGTTGATGCAACAGACGCTGGAAATGAATCCAATTTAGCGTTAATACTGCAGAGACTACCTGGCAGCGAGGACTACACGTGCCCAGCTTATTAGACCGAACATATTGTAAGCGTGGACCATGCTTTGCATATAAATGACCCACATATGGTAAGTGGGCGGGTCGCTCGCTGCCTTGGCCCACATATGCGCTATACACACACACACACACACACACACACACACATATAATATGCAGAATATGAATTCACACGCACACACAGAGACACATGTTGTGGCTGGCATTCTTTTTAGCTACGCTCAGAGATTTCAATTTTGAAGTCCTTGGTTGGCACTTGGACCACTTTAAGAGCCACTCCCTACAACTTCTGGGCTCATTGACTGCGTGCAAGTCGCTTTTAAGATTTTGGCCCCAAATCCGCTTTACATATACGTTTATTTTGTTTCTGTCTTTTTTGGCATCGCTTTCCTTTTTGCCGTTGCGCTCTGTTGGCCTGGTCTGTGCTTCCTGTCCCGGCCTCAGCTGCATTCTATCTCCATAAAAGTCGCATTGAGCAGCAACAAAAAAAATTTACATAAATTTGTTTGGGATCGCGCCCAGGCAGCAATCAATGAGCACACATAAATTCAGAGCTATCCGTTAGCCGTTGCCTTGGCTGTGACTTTCAGTCCACTTTTGGGGTAGTTGGGCTTTGCTAAGCATGTCTTACGGCAGCTTGGAGCTGGCTACACGAGGGTATTCTCCCAGTCAGTCCATTGTGGGAACATGAAAATTATTTTGCCATCTTTCGACAACTTATTATCGCTGGCTTAGGTGTCCTCTCTTTGTCGATTCGTCGATGCTTGGCATAATTTATTTGCCATAAAACGTGAAATAAAACATTTTCGCTCGTAAATTATGAAACAAGTTGAACGGTTAAGTCTCAAAGTCGCAAAAGGCAAAGGTACATAAAAACGAATTCAGGGCGCATAACGGGATTGTATATAATAAATATTTTTCACTGTCCCCTCACATCAGGCAGCATATATATGTATATATAAATATATATATTTATTCCAATTAAGTAGCATTGCCCCATATCTTTCATATAAACGTCAAAAGTGCCAGCTACAGGCAGACAAATATGTATGTATGTGAAAAAAAAAGACTTACCAACGAGTCGAGAAATCAAAAGACTTGCATCTGCTTATTTATTTGAGCGCTGGACAGATTCCCTTGTCTGGCGGGGCTGAGCTGTTGGACGCATCAACATCAACAGGCACATCTGAAATTAAACGTTTGAATGAGCTTTTCATATTAAGTGCTAAAAATAAATCAAGAAAAATATTGTGTATATATAAATGTACTTCAGCAACATCAGTCGAAAAAGTCTGCGCCAAAGGTCAGTGACGAAAACAGAAAAAATTAATAATAATGTGGCAAAAATATGTACAGCAGCTCTCTTGACTAACCCGCAGAGAAAATGCGTGTACAACATTTTAGGTATTAAAATCCGTCGTAATTATTATTAGATTTTCGCAGAGCTCAACGTTTTTCAAGTATTTCTATTTCTACATAGACATAGGTCCATATTTGTCGAAATAAAACAAGGAATTTTGGTTTAGAATTTATGCTTCAATTTAAATCTCCAATTAAAATTTGTAAAACAATTTGAATAGTAATTAGATACAATTGGGCAAAGAAAATCTTAAATAAATATACATATATATTTGTATACCCTTGCAGGAGGTATAATAATTTTGTCATGAAATATGTTATGCATAGAAGGAGACATCTCCGACTCCATAAAGTATATATACTCTAGACCAGCATCAACAGACGATTCCGTCCGCCTGTCAGTCTCTCCGTTGGTCTGTTACTATGCGAACTACACTCTCAGTTTTAAGGTTATCGTCTTGAAACTTTGTATAAGTCCGTCTATCTGCTGCAGGCAATACATATATCGGAATCGAACCACTACATCATACAGCTGTCAAGGTAAACTTTTTCATGTTAAGATAACTTGACCAAGCTCGGGATTTATTAGTTTCATTATGATCCTCATATATACGCCAAATCGCATCAGCATCGGACCATACCTATAGGGTAGATCGCTCGAATAGTAGGTTCTTAAAAGGCAAAATATTCTGTTTTCAAAGATATTTCAACAAACTCATGCATTTTCGAGCTGTACTATTCTTACATATCTGCAAGAGGGAAATGTTGACAAGGGTATTTATATTTTTTTACAGAAATGTAACTTATTTATTTAAGAAGGAATACAAGTCAAACCCACATAGACGGCTTGAAACAATGTGCAAATAGTCGAAAATAAACAGAAACACATGTAAATTAGCCTTCAGATTTAACAAGAGTTACAAAATCTTGAGTGAATTTTGGCCAAGTTCTTGTCGAAAGCAGCTGCCGCCTGCCCGACTGCCTGCTAGGCATATGCGGCGTATGCGCAACGCGGATTTACTTTACAATGTCAACAGAAGTCAGAAGCTGTCTGGTTCGCTGGTTGGTTGCTCATATGCCGCCCGCACACGCACACACACACATACACACACACACGCACCCACGTGAAGCCAACTTATGCCTACAAAGTGAACACGGATTCACAGGAGCAGGCACTGACTGCTTGAATATTGTACAGAATATTTCTTTGCTGCTTTAAGCAGAAGCACGAGGAGTGGGAGAAAATTGGTTACAGCCCAGGTAGCAAACGGCATTTGTTTATGGTCACATGGTGTGGCTCGTGCGGAGTGGTGGAGTGGCGGAGCAGTCACTATTCACTTCACTTTGCCTCGCATAAAATGTGTCGTGTCATGTGCTTAAGAAGTATGAAGCATAATGCCGCAGAAGTGAGGAAACGTGCCCACTTACCGGAGGACCCCAACCGAGTCGAGCCAAAGAGAATACGCACAGCAGTTGAAAGCGAGCTCAAGTGAAGTTAAAGTCGAAGGGCGTAGGGGGGCGGGGGGCATGTGAAGCGGTAACTCGACAGGCCTCAATAAATAAATAGCAGCTGCATCAGTTGACAGTGCCACAGTCCTGGGCCTTCCTGCTACAATACTCCTGACGTCCTGTGATTTCCTGTGGAACGCGCAAGGAAGATAACAAAAATTAACTAACCAACCGGGGAAAAGGGGCCCTCGCGGCAAGCAGCATGTGTTAAGCAGCAGATGAATAAGTGAGTTGGCTAATAGCGTAGATTGGATAAGGCGTACATATACAATATAATACAATCGAGCTGATGCTTGGTGCTCCGAATGCGATTAGCCAAATCGCTTGAGTTCGCATCACTGAATGCTCTACAACAACTGAGTGGTATTAAAGTCTTATAGGATGCAAGAGCATTCGTCGAGATTAAAACTCTACTGAGTTTTAGTTCACATAGGAGTTCAGGTATAAGGTGTATATACATATATAAAGGTATGTTTTCTAAAAGGGTTTTTTTGCATGGAATTGTCAAAGTACGTAGCAAAAGTAAGTGTAGCGTTTCAATTGGCTCTTAATTGATTTTAAATATCATATTTTATCATATCATTTATCATATTTCGCAGTTATCAAAATACACAATAAGTACAATAAAAACATGTTTTACAAAAATGAGTTGTTTGACTTTTCAAGTTAAATTAGTTGGAACTTCAAGCAAAACGGTATTTCGGCGTAAATATGAATTCCTATTTTTGTTGCTTTTATTTTTATTAACCGAAAAGTATTTAGCATTGGCCTAAAATTATTTACCAGCCAAATACAATACATCAAAAATCACAAGAAAACCACTGACAACACAGGAGAATAATGAAAACAACAAAGAAACAACTCACTCAATATTTGGGCTCAGTCGTTTTCACTCGGCGATGTTTTTGTGCTGCAATTGAGTGAGAAGTCGTTAAAGCAGTTCGGGCTTGTGATAGGGAATTGCATCGTATATGTGCCGACAACATACAACGAATTGCTCGGACTCGAGCGCTTATCAGCAGATAACCTGTTGGTTAACGGGAACGCCGGCGTGAGCGTCGCTGCTGCTGCTGCTGCGGCGGCGACGTCGTGACGTTGTCGTCGTCGGCGCCGTCACACACAGCGTATGACAATACAGAGCTCGTGTACGCTGGCAACGAGGGCCGAGGCTGTCGAGGCTGTCGTCAGTTGCTTGTGTTTCCTCGTTGGCGCTGGACGCGAAGCGGCAAAAATCAAATACTTATAAACAAAGCAGAAAACATTTCAAAATATTTTCAAATCAACAACAAACAGACACATTTGACGCGTTGCGTATACGCCACATTTGCCTAGGCAACAACTCGCGCGTGATTTTCCGTGAACCGGCAAATAGCAAATTCAAGTCCAACCAAGTGCCGGAGCGTGCTCGAGTGCGGATCCGCAACGACGTTACGTTACGGTCTACGGTTGCGTTTGCGGTTCCGTTTTTGTTGACATTTTGGTAACGCGTCGGTTGGCACGAAAACAAAAAAAAAAAATAAAAGAACAGGAACTTTTGGCTTTCGCTTTTGTTAAACTGTCTGGGCCAGGCTTTAGACTTGAAGTGCAAGTTAAACAGGCAACAACTTAACCCTGGGCCTCAAATTAAATCCATTGTCAGCAGGTGGGTAAACCGACTGTGAACTCAAATCCAAAACGTAAAAGTGTACTTGCTAATAAGTTCGACATACTTCGGGATGCCCAATGCCCCCAGAGTGTGTATTACATCTACACAAATTCAATTTCCAGTCAACTTTTTAGGCTAACCCATAAAGCAAAAAAAAAATAAATAAAAAAAAAAAGAAGGGAAAAGTTTTATTTGTACTCAAAACGGTCCCAACTTTCTTGCGACACAACAAACAAGTCAGAAAGATGGCAAGAATTTCAAATAAAGAAAAACACTCCCTTGTTATAAAAAGTCAAATGCATTTCGGCCGGGCAAACAAAAGAAATGCGAAAGAAATGAGAACATTTTCTTTTCTTTTTTCTATAGATTTTTTGCTCGCTTTTATGACCCGCCACAAAGCTCGCGACTGTCCATAATTAAATATGCAAATTAATGGGCATGCTCGAGAATCGTCAAGACAAATGTTTGTGCAGCTGACGACACGCTGTCAAATTTGCAAGACAATTAAATACTATCAATATGTTTTATTGTTGGCCCAACTATTGATTTTCATTTGTCCCAGCTGACTCTGGGGCCTCTCATCAATTGTAGATTTGAATATTTATCATTGCGGGCACACACACACACACACACACTCTTATTGCTTTGTCTTTGCTTGGAACTTAATGAATACGGGTTACAGCTTCACGCTCAAATGCGCAACGTTTTGTTAGAGTACATATACTTTGTGTGTGTGCGTCTCCCAGCTGACTCACTTGTGCTTAATTTTACAATCCATAGGGTCAAGCAATTAACACGTGGCCAGCTAGTGGATGCTTGCATTTAATATTCATAATAAATTAAATGCAATGACTATTGAAAATTTGCATTATTTAACGGTTGAATTTTCTGCTCAATTTAGTACAAAATATATATTATATTTTTAACAATAAACTAAACAAATCAGTTATATTAATTGCTGTGGGATAATTAATTGATTATAAATCAACTGATTAAACTAAATATCAAATATGCTTTGAAATATTATTTTTGCGTAGCTCTTAAACCCTTTTTATACATTTTTTATTTAGATTATAGCGATATCCACTATGAAATGTGCAGCATGTCAATTCTCCCATTAATAACGCTAGTTCCTTAAATCATTTTGATAGCCTTAATAGCTATATGTAATAATAGCTATATTGTAAAGTAATCCAATAAGATAAATGTCTTGTGTCCATTTTTACTAAACGAGAGCCAAAATTTCGTTCAAAATCGATTTAATGGAAAGGGGTGATCGAAAGGAAACAATAAATTCGTTTTGCAAATGAGAGATCATATTTTTAAAATTTAAAGTCTTCAGCTAAGTATAATAATTTCCTGACGGATAGAACTGAAAAGAGTGAAAAGAGCGAGTCTCTTAAAAACGTTTATTTATGTGTTAAATTTAATTCATGTATTAAATGTGACCAAACGATGTAAATCTGTTTTGCTTTTCTTTAAAATTGTATTTTTATTTTGCGTTATTTAAGTACTTTAAAGCTTTATGTGTTCTGGCTGAGCAAAGTTCTATAAGAAATATTTTCATAAAAATACAAGCTGAATAATTTAAGTAAAATCAAAAGTCCAAAGCCCTATATCGAGCAATTCAAACTATAAGCAAAGCCGCAACAGAATTTCTAACTATCATTAATATAACATTGGACCAATTTTAAGTGAAAACTGATAAATTTGTGGCCATGACGAGAGCTAGAAGACACAAAAAGTTGTGTTAAGCGGGTAGAGAAGGGCAAAAAACGCATTTCAATTTGCATAACAACGCGGTTCTGGAAAATGGCAAATAGTCGCTGATAGCAGCGAATTTCGTTGGAATCCACAAAAGGAGCAAGTCGAAGGACGAAAACAACATTGACTTTGACGTTGATGGTGTCTTCAAGGCTTGACAGGAGCGGGGTAATGTCTTGAAATGTCCAAGGAACTGCCAGTGCTGATGTTACCTGATGTATATTTGCATTTAGATCAAACAACCTGCCTGCGCGGCCGCCTGGGGGGTTAATAGCGGCGGGGGTAAGGGCTGTGGGGCAAAAGTGTTTACTCTCTGTGAACGTGTACTGCATTGGCAGTGATAATTTGTGAAAGACATTTCAAGCTTCGTTTGGTTTAATACCCTGTAAAACAAATAGCCCGTTGAAAGCTATAGCTGCCCCGTTGTGTTGCTTTGAGATTGCAAATCACGAAAATTTATGTAGCATACTTTGTACAGTAGAAGAAGAAGGTATCTCGCTTTTCATTTCTTATTTTGCTATCGTTTTTATTGGAGCGTTTTATTGCTTTGTTAGTTTTGCATAAATTATGCATAGCAAAGTGTGTGCGTGTGCGTGCGATTTTCTTGGCCAAGTCTTGGGCAAAATAGGTTAGCGGGGCGGGCGGCAGCAGCTTGGCAACTGCTTGAATTCATTTGATTTCTTGCAGTCAGTCGCAAGTCACAGGTGACATTTTTATGGCCAATCTGCGCTGGCAATAAAACGATTGGCTTTTTCAAGGACAGCCATCGGGGCTGGTACGCCGTCAACAGCTGCCACAATGTAATCTACTTGTTTGTTACATCGACAGTCAACTAGCTGAAATGCTAGCGGCTGGCAAAACATGGCCCCTAGCTGGTCCGAGCTCAGATTTCAAAAATTTCCCACGGGAATAGCGGTTGCATGTTCTCATACGGAATGAGCGCTGGAATAGGTTATGCGCCTTCAATTTAGTATCCATCTATTACTTAGCAACCTATCTGCAGTCCGTGTGGAGTATTATGTTTTGCTCTTGTTCGATATTCACTTTGTTTAATAATTTACGCACTGCGCTGGGATTTGAGCTGACTGGCAAAAGACTCAAATGCACACCAAAAATTAATTATATTTCAATTTAACGAAGGGTTCACAGTGGCCGCATCATCACACCAAAATAGACACAAATCCGCGGTTGAATCCGAGCTGCGCTTTAATTTGTGTGCATATAACACTTCAAATACTCTATCCAAGGCGGTTAGCATATTCAAATAAAAGCGTAAACATTTAATCTCTGTGGCCACCAAAATGCATATTGCTGGCTTCTGTTCATGATCATTTTACCATTTGCACCAGCCTCAACTGAAGCCCAGCTATAGTTAGTTGCTTTTTTTTACTGCTGCCTCTTATTTTCGCAAGCTAACATACATATATGATCTCTTATTCATAATGGGCTGCACATGAGCTTATAAACATGATCTCTTACTAACATTTGTGCAAACTCACCATCAAATCATCCGTACCAGGTCGCTTCGCAGCTTCAACTAAAGCCTAGTTCTAGTTGGCTGCCTTATTTATACTACTGGCTCTTCTTCTTTTAGCTTGCATACACGATCTGTTATTCATATTTTTACACTAACACACACGCACATTAACACAAGCTCAAGATCTGCACCGGCCCGCCGCGCACCTTCGACTGAAGCTCATCTGCAATGGGCAGCTCTTTATATACCGTGGGGCACACCTTCTGTAAGACAACATGATCTGTTATTAATATGATCTGTTATTAACATTCAATGCAAAGTTACTATTGCACTATCCGTACCTTCCTGCCTCGCAGCTTCGACTGAAGCACAGCTGCAACTGGCAGCCATTTATATACTGTGGGCTGCACCTGCTGCAAGCCAACATGATCTGTTGTTAATATGATCTGTAACTAACATTAAATTCAAACTCACCATTACACCATCCTTAGCTGGTCGCCTCGCAGCTCCAACTGTAGCCCAGCTGCAATGGGCAGCCCTTTATATACTATGGGCAGCACCTGCTGTAAGCTAACATGATCTGTTATTAATATAAATATGATCTGTTATCAACATTTAATTTTAACTCACCATCAGACCATCCGTACCGGGCCGCCTCGCAGCTTCAACTGAAGCCTTGTTATAGCTGGCTGCCTTATTTATACTACTGGCTCTTCTTTTTAGCTTGCACGCACGATCTGTTATTCATATTTTTATACTAACACACACGCACATTAACAAGTAATCAAGATCTGCACCGGCCCGCCTCGCAGCTTTGACTGAAGCCCAGCTGCAATGGGCAGCCCTTTATATGCTCTGGGCTGCACCTGCTGTAAGCTAACATTATCTGTTATTAATATAATCACTAGCAGATCTTCCGAACCGGCCCGCATCGCAACTTCTATTGAATCCCACCTTTCGTTGGCTCCCTTATTTGGCTCCCTCCATTCATGATTTTTTTTTTACATGAAGAAACATGTATACACACGCCCATTATTTTTACCGGGACTTCGGCCCAAATCGAAAAGAGAGTTCAACTTATGCGGCTGAATTGTTGTCGATAAGTACAAATTTGAAGAGCATTTGAATTTCGGTTATATTTTCATCAATTAACATAGATGAGATTTTAGTCATAAGCATGGCCCCATCATAATCGCCCGGCGCGTTGGCTATGTCGATATGGTTCTGGTCCGCGGTCGCATCTCGGTTCAAATATCATTAAAATGCAAAAATTGATGAGCGGCGCGAGGACAGCAGCCAGCTTGTGAGACCTGGTGTGGGCTAAAGAGAAAGAGACAGATGGAGAGAGACAGAGAGAGGAACAGTTGCTGCGTGGGTGTGTTACGTTTGTGGCTGTTGCTGCTGCTGGTGCTGAAACTGTCTGTGGTTCGGGTATGATGGTGGGGGTGGTGGTGGTTTTTGATGGGTTCGGCCGAGGTTGGTCGGCGCTTGAAGTGAGCATTTAATTAATTTTGCTTGTTGGCTTGGCGCACTGATTAAAACGCCATTTACAACATTTTGTATGCATTAAGTCAGAAAGAAGTTAGATGCTCATTAATTTGCATAGACTAAGCCGGAAGGCAGCTGAGATAATGCTTACGATGCATTTATGTATGTAGTATATACGTAACAGCCTGCAGTTTAGCTTTATAATTAAGCAAATGGTAACTGAGCTGAACTTGACTGTGTTTTCATTCAAGCATTTATAATGAACTTA